AAAGCCTTCTTCAGGACAAAATCAATTGATTTCAGAGCGCAGAGGTGAGAACCAGCTTGGACGCGGATGCCGTGAAGCGGGGCGTAGTTGATGTCAGTGGTTTGTGATCGCTCCCAAAAGCTTTTGAGGCAGCCTGGAGATGTATATATAATGCTTAGGTACTATTCTTAAAGTGACGGTTTTTTCATGGCAAAGCTCAGTGGTGAAAAATGCTTGTGCGCTATCAAGTGGTATCTATCATTTGAAAATGAAATAAAGTCTGATTTAAAGCTAGTGCACCAGATTAATCAGCTACTCCCCAATTGCATTCATTGACCCTGTTCATTCAGGGACTGTAATTAAGAAAAACAGCAGTGACTTTAAATTTGGCACCCGAATCACAAGGTTAAAGCAGTAAATTTCTAAGTCTGATTGGCGCCAGGTTAGGAGGAGGTATTCTCGTTTCTCGCTCATGAACAGAGAAGTGATGAGCGAGGGAGAAAAAGGGAGGCAGAGGTTTATGGAGGATTTTCAGAGTTATTAAGACACTGAAGACAGATAACGCCGTCCTTGCAGGCTTACAGATACAAAATATTTGAAATAATACTTCGAATTACAGGTTTTTCATACTTACTGTACTGTAAAAGAAAACAATCCTACTAGTTTCTAGTTAAGCAGCACAGAAGTTGCCAAGGTTTAAAATTAAAATAAGAAGTCTCAATTTTTTCTTTGGAAAACTGCTTTTTGCAGTCAAAACATAGAATTTGAGCCCTAATTCTGTCAAAACACCCCTGTTCGGACACCACCGCCTGTCACTGTTGTGAAGCAGATGCACAACTGGAAGTCAAGGGACCTCTTCCCACTACGAAGATGTATTGGTTTGGATGATTCTGGGAGATCTTGGGGCAACTCGTGCTATTTCAAATTTTAAAAGTAGCCTCTCATTTCCAGAGATGAGCAGCGTGTCCAACTCAGCTGGTGTTGCAGATCCGCTGTTTTGTTTTATTAAGGGTCAGAAAGGTCCATTAGAGTGTCTAGGCTGATCTTTTGTAACTGTGGACCGTTAAATGCAATCCCCATCACTCAGATATGAAGCTGAAAGAACTGTAATTGCAATAAACCCTTTTAGTCCATAGGTTGCTGAATTGTATGGCACAGGCAGGGAGAAGGAGTGACCCAGCTGCCACCTATGTTCAACGCCATCCTGTTAATGCTGGCTGAATTCTGCCTGAAATCAAATGTCTTGGTTAGTAACTAACAGATTAATAACTATAAATTTCATATAAATTCTCTTCTCCGTATGCCATTATTTATTTTATGCATGAGTTATATTCTATAAGGTGAGGTTTGCATATATTAGATAAAGTTTTGAAGTGCGTGTGAAGGAATGACGCGGTGGTCCAACTGGTGTTAGGTGAGACGTAAACTGTAGCTTTCATATTTCTGCTGTGTTTTGAGAGGGATGTGATGTGTCAAGTGTATCAGGTACCTGACTGATGGATTTAAAAACAAGCCTTCTGAAAGAATACAGACCAGCTGGCGAATAAAAATTGCCTGTTGGTGCGGGCTATGCGCTGCCATGCAGGGAGCGATGCGCGTTCCTCGTGTTCCCCGGGCTGCGTTTAGTCCGCAGGTTGATGCTTCATTTTCCAAGCTCTATTTCTGCAACTTGGGCAGAAGATGAAGTACTTTGGTGTACTGAATTAAGAATTAAGAATAAGAAACTTCCTAGCAGATTTCCATGTGCTTTCCTAGGATAATATTCCATCCACTGTTAGTGTTTACCGTGTATTTCTTTTCTCTGCAGTATAATTCTTGCTTTTGTCTATTCATCTGGGTGCCAGCTAGAAATTAAAATAAAAAGACTGCACTCTGAATGGATTCCTGAATGCTATTATAAAGCATGGCAGGTTTAACAAACAAGCTCGATAAAAGTAGTTCCCACTTCGCTTCAATAAATAGAAAGGTGGTTTGTGTCCTTGGTTAGATGGTAGTTGTCCTAGCTTTATTTCTTGCTTATCCTGTTGTACTATATGTGAGTACAGCTTTCAGCATTTATATTTTTAGTGTTCTTTAAAATCAAAATGCTTAAATCAACATCTTTTTTTTTTTCTGTTGAAGAGATGCATTTGATACAATCCACAGAAAATGCTTCCAACACGTGCCATTTTTAATTGCTTTACCAATTATGATTTCTCCAGTCTAGCTAATAAATTTCTGCCTAACTGTGCACTTATTCAGAATATGGGCGAGATGTAGACGCCATTCAGATGTGAAGACCTATTACCAGATTGAAATAGATTTCTAATGCATTTATCATTCATCTTTGCAGAGTGTGATTTCAATCAGAAAAAAAAAAAAATGATGAATGGTTTGACAGTTTCCACCCATATACGCTAAAACATAATATGCTGCTTCTAGTTTTCAGCTATTACAGACTTTAACATGCAATGTGACCTTGGTCTGCAAAGCATGTTTGGTTAGCACAAAAACTTAATCATAAGAAGTCATAAGTAGAATCCTTCTTCTTTACTGCCCTTTTTCTGGGACTTGGAAATTTATTGCTTCTGGGACAGGTAGGATATGAACAATGGGCCAAATAGAGTCCAGGGTTATCTCATCTGTGTGAAAACTGCTGCTGAAAATCGATGTGACCTCTGCTACACTGTCATCCCAATTCCCACCCTCTGTGTCCTATTTGTCTTTTGGTGGAAGCTTAGATCTGTGTGCTGTCTCTATGTGTCTCTCTTGGGCCAGATTATCAAAATGAATCATTGCCTGCATACCTCTTATATTTCTATTTATTTTCCCGGTGCTGACTAGGTCTGATGAAATATGATTCTTTTTGCATTTGATCCTCACTGCAGCCAGCAGCACCTAATTTAGCTGTGTCTATCTCTTTAAAGAAGAGTAATACTATTTTGAAACTTCAATCTGCTGTACAGTAACATTACAAACCATAGACCATGCAACCTGTCTTCACAGTCAATAGTAATTTTCCTTTCGGCCAATTTAATGTTATTACTTTCATCTCCAAATAGTAGAGATTTCTGGAGATTTTAGAGCAGCCGTGGTTTTGTTATGCATACCTCACGTATTGCTTGCTTTTTTCAAATGCCACTTCTGCTCAGACTTTTGTGGCTTGGATGGCATTTCTGCGTGGCATCACGCGCAACGACTAATCGCTTCATTTTAAAAACTGCCACTGATAAAAGATATTTCAGCCTGAGAAGTGCTGTATCGGAATCAGCACGGACTCCGTGGTCTGAGTATGTGAACCGGAGTTGGGTTTTTTGTTTGTTTTTTTTTTTTTAAATGGCTCATTTAAATTACATGAACGCAGCTCTAAAGTGATAGCTGTGAAGGTGGGTAGAGGTTACCGGCTTTTGTTGTTGTTAGTCCTGAAGAATCATTATGAAGATGTTCCGTTTAATGAACTCATGCGGTGCAAACAAAATACTCCCTAACCAGAGATTTCAAAGAATCCTTGAAAACTGCTAAATGCTCCTGCTCCGTGGTCAGGAGGTGGTTTTTAGAAACACAGCAAAAAAATAAGCTCGCTGCTCAAGAGGTGCTCCTGGAGCTCGGAGCATCCAGGCGATAGCGCTGCTGTAGAAACGCCGCCGTTTAAGTCGTCGTCAGGTTCTTCATGAGCTTTTTGGGTTGGCTTGGGGTTTTTTTTTTTTAATCGGAGAGGTGGGAGAAGGAGGCTTTTTGAATACGGTATGGTCCAATTGTAAATTGTGGCTTTAATATGGCCAAGACACTTGACAGGCGAAACTATCAGGACAGGCTGGGCAGTTGCCCTTAGAAAACAGATGCATCAGGAACTGATGGTCAATACATTTGTTGCGAGCTTTACTAAAAAGCGATTGCTGAGAAGATATTCTTCATGATTTCTGCAGAGAGAGAGAGTGGTTTTCCCTGGAATGTTACACAGAAATATTTTTTTTAAGTAAAAGAGTAAACGGAATGTACAGAGCTTGGCCTTTAAGACTGAGAAAACTTTAGCAGAGTTTCATTTGGGGGGTTTTAGCAGTTAACTTGATGTTTATAATGAATACGTGGGGAAGAAGTACTCAGGGATCTGAGAGAAGGAGATCCACTTACTATCCTAAAATACACTTAAATTACCCTATGCAAAAATGTGAGTTAATGCTCGGACTGATTCATCGCAGAATTTAAAGGATTTTTGATAAACGGTTGCTAACGTTCTTGTTTCTTTCCGGATGCACGTTTCTGCTGTCTGTGCGCAGCCTGATCTGTAAGAACGGGATCTGTTGGAAAGCAGGAGTGAAGGGGAAGCTGCCAGGTCCCGATCCTACAACCCATAGGTGATGCCTCAGTCGGGTTCTCCGCAGCAGATGGCAGGAGCGGGGCGCTGTGCCGGAGCCCCCTCTCCATCCCGGCCGCCCCCCGTGGCCCTCCACCACCCCGCTCCCTTCCTACCTCCCATAGAGATCACTCAGCAAAGCATTTTTGGCTGCTGCCCGTGGCTGGAAAGGCTGACAGTAGCAAGGTACTTGTTAAGAAAACCTGTGCTGACCCTTTGCTGTCGACGTGGCGCTGAGCAGGAGGGGATGACTCGGTGGAGGTTATTTACTGCTGAGCAGGGGAAGGATAACGTTAAAGGAGTAAAGGGATGTGATACGTTTCTTGATGAGAATTTTCTCAAGGTTACGGCAACAAAAACCGCACTTCACAGAATGGCTAGCGTGGTAGAATGAAGAAAGGTCATTCGGGTTTAATGAACTGCGTAATACTGTTATAATTCTGCAGAATCGGAGATATAATAGTCTATACTCTATTACAGCTATGTTACAGTCTTCAGTATATTTGGTATTGCTCTGTACTATTACGCAAACTCACCTTAGCAAGCTGCCCAAAGACCGAAACGACGTCAGCTTTACTAACCCGCTTGTGTTTTGGCTTCCAGGTAAACAGAATGCTAGTCTCGAGAAATTCCATCTACCTATGTTTCCAATGCTTTCTGATGTTGCTTTTTAAACCTGTCTTTACAGAAGAGGTCCAAATTGCCATTCCAATAATGAAACCAACCTTAGATAAAGTCCAACTGGCTGGACAGGCCTTGCCTCCTGGATTTCCGGCGCCATTTCTTTTCGCTGATGGTCTTTCATCAGTAGAAACACTATTAACCAACATTCAGGTAAATTATTCTCTATAGGGCCAGGCTATGTCGTGATAGATAAAATGTGTTTCTTTTTCAATCTCTTTGAAAAGTTTCAGAAACTATTTAGTATCTGCAGTTCTGATTTCTTTTATTTAACGTAATGCTAAGGTTTCCACTATCTGGCATTATCGATCATGAAATGTATATTGTCTGTTTGCCTTAATAGTTGGCAATAATGGTCATACTAAAATCCACCAGTCTCATTATTCCTCCTCCGCTTCTCCCTGCCGTTGACCGAGGGCAGCAATGATGCGGCTTTCCAGTTGTAATAAACCGCATGAATTCGCAAAAGCTACATGGAATGATCCCATGCCCAGAATTGCTCATATATAACATTTAGCTACTTCAAACGCCCAGTTGCAATCCTGGTCTATAGGTTCCTACTTTTAATTTTTCTGGTTTTCCGAGGGGGTGTAAAAGAAACAGAGGGATGAATTTTGTCACTGCCAAAACGAACGGGCATTTTCAGATCTTACATTTGTGTGTGTTCTAGGGCCTACTGAAAGTGGCTGTGGACAACGCGAGAGTCCAGGAAAAGCAGATACAGCAGGAAAAGAAAGAGTTAAAGATGGAGCTTTGTAGAGAGAGAGAACTAAGAGAGAGCTTGGAAAGGCAACTCACAGCTGAGCTGCAAAGCAGAGGTGAGTGAATGAAAAATGGAGTTTAGATATCTATTAAATGTATAACCCTTTGGCATTTCCAGCTGGAGCTATCGAGGACTCGCAGTTAACTGACATTCATACTTCAGTGTAATGCAGCAGTGGACTAGCACTGGTAATGAAAGATTTAAATTTAATAAAACCCGAATGAAGCACACTTTTCCGTAAGCAGACAGAACGGTGACTGAAGGATTATTTCCTGGAGGGCAACTGGCCGCAGAGAGTTTTGGCTGCTTCTATGGAAGAAAGCTGATTCAGTTCCGTGGCTTTCACATGTGTTATTACCCCTCTGCCGGTGTATTCCCAGCCTGATTTCTTCATTTGACAGCTTTAATTTCTTTTGTTTCCTGCTATTATCCTCCAAGCATTGCGGATCAGTCTTACTGTGAGAAGGAGAATATGTCTGTAATTTGGGTATATCGTTGATTTTTTTCTTCGTTACCTTATTACTTCTCTAGCCCACATTTCTGTAGTTTAGGTGCTAGTTTGTCTTGTAGAGAACTTCAGAGCAACAAAATAGGCGGAACTATGAGAAGTTGTCTGAAGCAAATAACCCTAGATAATTATTATTTTTTTAACTATCAGGAGAGTGAGATACAATAGCACTCCCCATACGGGGCCTCCTAAGACAAAACCATGGCTGGGTAGAAGCTTTGATAATAATAGGCAATTAAATTGGTAAATCTGAATTTTTCGCTGTGGTATTATTGCAAAGAGGGCAGTATTCTTCTTAAAATTCAAATCTGCGTCTAAGGGAGGGGAATAGCACTTCACATGCCAAAAGCTACTCCTAGATTACACCCGTGAAATCAGAAAGATAAAACCAGACAAGACCAAAAATGGAGGTGCCGAGTACAATCTTCCCGTGCATTGTGAACCGCAGTTAGGTGTGGAGAACGGAGCCGTCTCCAGCGCCGCGTCTCGGTGGGCGGCAGCAGAGAAGGGCGCTCACGAGTGGAGCTGTGAAGGGTTGGTGAATGCTACTGAAGCTGTTAAATTGCAGTGGGTGCTCAGAAACATTGCCTCAGCCCAGCCCAAGTGTGGATCGAGACCGCGGTATTTCTACAGAACAAAACTTCTCTCCCTGCAGGCAGGCAGCACGCTCTGCTCCTCCCGAGTCACGTTGAAGTCAACAGAAACCTTAAGCCCTTCACAGACTTTGTTGGCTTCTGGCTCAAAAGAGAATTTCACCAATAATCGATATCCTCAGATTTGTTTGTCTTCCAGGTCATCGCCACGTGCACATCTTTATTATTATAGAAAATCAGGGATAGGCTTTTTCACACGGGCTGCTCAATTTTGCAAAGTTACGTTCTACAGATCACATTCTGACATTCGTAATTTATTAAGTGTCCCAGAGATTTCCCATATAAAGGTATCCCTTTTTTTTTCCCCCCCTGACTGGAGCATTCACAAATCCAGAAAGATCTGTAAAAGTCAATAAGAATTCAGGTAAACAAGAGGTCACAAAAAGTTATGCAAATACTGTGGATTTTCCTAGAAATGCTCCAAATTTTTCGTAAATTTTCTAAGAATATTTTGTGATTTGAAATGCACAGGTATCTAATGTACAGGAGAAGCAAATAAATGATAGGGACTGCAAAATACTTCTTGTATAAATTCAGCTTTCGTTTTAACAGTGCATGTGGCCAATATTTGCCAGAGCATACGCACTAGCAAAGCTGACTCTAAATTAGATGGTAATTTTAAAAGGGCATTTATGTTTAAGCTCAAATTCTTTTTAGTCTCTTAGTTTTAGCTGCCTTTTCTAGTGCCACCACTTCTCCATTTGTTTGATTCAGTAATGGATCCATGGGATTAAGTACGGTCCTGCGGAATTCGACTGCATGCGTGAACGGGAGCAGCCAATGCCAAAGGATTCTTCCATCCTCTGGCCAAGCTGCGATGGGCTGTGGAAATGTTGCGCTTCCATAGGAGTGGGGTCCTTAACCCCTTCCAGATCTTGCTAAAAACGTTCTCCTGATGGTTCTGAGAAAGTACCTGAGCACCAGCCCCCGACAGAACCGACCTTCCTCGCGCCAGTCAGCCGGGCCAGCTGATGGAAGATTTCCTGGAGCAAAAGCTCCAGGAAAAAAGCAGAAGAGGAGAGTTAGGTTCTGGCTGCAGGGTGCGCTCGGCAGGAGTGTGGCGATGGGACCCTACCAAGCGGTTTAAACCAGGGAAGGGAGGTGCAGGTCGTGCAGAGGAGAGACGCGAGAGAGTGATCTTGCAGCACTGGTGAAAAACCAAGCGTAAGAGCCCATTAAAGACGGCTTAATAAGGATAATAAGGGCAGTCCCTCAGCCAGCAGGAAGGGGTGTTGGTGGCAGAGGCAGGTATTTTAGATGTAGTTCTGGCCCAAGTAACGGTAACCTGGTGCTGGTGAAAAATAAGGTTAAATATGGGATTAGGATTCAGGGTTTGAAAAGGAAAAGGCTTAAAAGGTGCATTTTATTGCTTGAATTTATATAGGTGAGGGAGGGCAATCATAGCCGACGTCAGCAGTTTCCAATGCTGATATTGATCATCTGGCTACAATTAATACTATACAATTACTCTAGTTACAGTTTTAACTTTATTTATGGTTGGGTTTAAGACTGAGATTAGTCAGGAATACTTCTGGTTTCTGCCAAATCTTGCACGGCTGGACCAACGGCCTGTGGATCATCTTTGTCGAGGCACAGTTTCTGCGTCCCGTCTGTCAAAGAGAGAGGCTGAGGGCTCTGTAAAGTGCACCGAGATCTAACGCAAGGCTCGGCGGGAGCACTGGATTGCTGCATTCTCGCCTGCTTTAAGTGCGAGATTTAATGTGCCCTTGTTGCCAAGAAGGCCAAGGGTATCCTGGGGTGTATTAAGAGGAGTGTGGCCAGCAGGGCGAGGGAGGTTCTCCTCCCCCTCTACTCTGCCCTGGTGAGACCCCACCTGGAGTACTGTGTCCAGTTCTGGGCTCCCCAGTTCAAGAAAGATGAGGAACTCCTAGAAAGAGTCCAGAGGAGGGCAACTAGGATGATAAAGGGACTGGAGCACCTCCCCTATGAGGAAAGGCTGAGAGAGTTGGGCTTGTTCAGCCTGAGGAAGAGAAGACTGAGAGGGGACCTTATCAACACGTACAAATATCTTAAGGGCGGAAGTCACGAGGATGGAAGCAGTCTGTTTGCAGTGGTGTCCAGCGACAGGACTAGGGGCAATGGGTGCAAACTGAAACATAAGAGGTTTCAGTTGAATATGAGGAAAAACTTCTTTACTCTAAGGGTGACAGAGCACTGGCACAGGCTGCCCAGGGAGGTTGTGGAGTCTCCTTCTCTGGAGATATTCAAAGCCCGCCTGGATGAAGTCCTGTGTAGAATGCTCTAGGAGAGCCTGCTTTAGCAGGGGGGTTGGACTAGATGATCTCCCGAGGTCCCTTCCAACCCTTGCGATTCTGTGATTCTGTGAAGTCCCACACAGCCAGCTACTATGCAGTGTTTTGCAGAGTGCTTCAGTTAGGACGAGAGATTGCTAATGAAGAGAATATTCTTGATTTACATACCAGTGTTACAACCTTGTTTTCAAACTGCTTTCTGCCTGGGAAGTTCCCTTTTAATCTCTCTCTGGTTCTCAAGATACACACAGTGCTTTTTTGTTTCTCTCCTTTCTTGGGCTTTCCCTCTTTTCTCCCACGAGTGTTGCGGTGCAAAAGTACTCCCGTTACTCAGGACGTGCCCCCGCTCTCCGCCTTTGACCTTTTGTTTGAGTAGGTATCCGCTTCACCCAGCTCCTCGATGGCCTTACACCTGGCTTGGGCAGTGGGCCTTCTTATTCCAGTTATTCTGCTTCAAAATTCACCCAACTGCTGCTCCGTTTTTCCAAAAAAAAAAAAAAAATTGCCACCTAATTCCGCGGGGTTTCACTCTGTGCAGTGCTGACATTTGGGATGCTCCAACACTGCGCACAGACGGTTCGCCTGCAGAAATAAATTCCATTTCCTTTTAGTGTTAGAAAACATAACTAAAACCGAATCTCTGACACATTCAGAATTCCTCCATCCACGAGGAGCAGCCAGAGGAGACATAACCAGTGTGTTTGCATTATATTTCTAGATAAAACTACGGGAGGAGGAAGGTGCAATGTAAGTCTCAGCATTAAGGGAAAGGGTTAGAATGAAGGGTGAGAGATTTATTTAATTCTGAGGATGTACTTTGCTGCTGTTGCTAGAAATAAGTTTAAGCCCATGATCTGCTCAGCCAAATTCTGCAGAACTGTAACTGGGATTTAGTCCAAACTGGTGAATTCTGTGTGATGTGAACCACCGGGCTGGCTCCGAGACTCTTAGGTTCTGGTCAGGAGACTTAAATCCATGGGGCTGTTCCAGAGCGAGAATAAGATTTAAGATCTCTAGCAAGATCTAAAGCCCTTTCAGATTGTTCATTGTTTCACTGCAGGATATGGCTTGGGGGTTTGGGTTTGGGGTTTTTTTGTTCTATATCAAATTCATGCCAGATTTATTTTTTTATTGAGCTAGAACCGAACTTCTGAATGTTGAACACACACTCATCCACTGTCTCCGTTGTTATATATTAATTGTGCTTTAACAGCCATCCTTACAATATATTTACATTTCAGCAACAATTCAGAAACGCTTGAAGAAAGAAAAAAAGGCAAAAAGAAAATTGCAGGAAGCTTTGGAATTTGAATCAAAGAGAAGAGAACAAGTGGAACAGGCGCTTAAGCAGGCGACATCAGGTGACGGTCTCAGGATGTTAAATGGTAATGTCTTAGTTGGCCTTTCACAGTTAGCTTAAAATGATGTTTAATTGAGTGAAGAAAAAAAAATAAAATAAGATGAGGCACAAAGCAAATTCCAGAATAAAAAACCCACAATCTTTTCCTGAAATAATTAAAAATCTATTTCAGGCCATGTGCTCTGGGTCATGAATTAAAAAAAAATAAGTAAGTCGGCAACTAGAGAAACAGACAGAGCAGTTTACACAGAGATGACAAGAACTGCTGAATATATTACCAGAGAAATCTGTTGCAGTGCCAGCTAAGACAATGTGAAATTTGGTTCCTATAAGGTTCTCTGAACTCTTCTCTCCCAGCAGATTCATTTTTAGAACTGCTGAGCTTCATTTTAAAAGCCGTTTGGCTGAAGTTTGCTCAGCCTCAGGACCTATTAAGTTTATTAAATATGTATCAGCTTTCAGAGCTGACTAGGTTTTGAATGCTTCCCAAATATTCTTGCAGAACAAAAGCAAATCGGTTAATCTCCTAAACAGGGCAGTTGTGTTTTGGGTAGCAGGAGGATTTGCCTCTCCTGTTTAATGGGTTCTGACCCAAGTTTAGAGCTTGAATCCTTAAGACTGAACCTGGTTGAGTTTTAGTTAATGTCAGGTCTGGAGCTGAGGTTTAGTCTGTGCGTCCCTAGCCTGAGGTCTCTGCAGAGGCTGGGGGGTCAGGGTGATGCTCAGGCTCTGCTGCCTTGGTGTCTCCTGTAGCCTTTACGTTAACTTCGTGCTGCCTGCTTTGGGCACTGCTAGCAAGCGAGCCATGATAACATCAGCAGACTGCAAAAATTGCCTGAACTGCTGGGTAAAAATAATGAGTGGAGCTTGTCTTGCGTTCTCAGGTGCAAGGGCTGCGCAAACTGTTTTTTTAAAGTTAGGGCAAGGCTGTCTACGTGAACGGCCGTCGCCACGCTCTGCAGCGGCCTGCGAGTTGTGATTTATCTCCAGCACCTAAGCGATACAAACTCCTTAAGTACGAGAGCAACATCTTTCAGAGGCATTCTCATCTGCTGGGTTTTATAGTCCAGCATATCACTGTAGCCAGGAGCTGGCTGGCTTTTCTGACGTGCTGGCAGTGAATGGTGGAGACTCAGGCCTGGATATACAGCTTGTGGCTGCACCGTGACAGGGGACAGTGACCCGAGGGAGAGCGGGGGGACAAAGCCGGCAGAAACCTTTTCCACCGCCTCCACTGGATCAGAAAAATGCCCGGATCAGATCCCACCTTGAGATGAATGTCAGGAAAACCCCTCCCGTGTTCTGTAAGGCCATTCATTCACCCAGACTCTGCCGTCGCTGGTAAGCAGCGGCCGCTCGCACCACAGTTGGGAGTACTCGGCGGTTCTGGAAGCCACAAATTAAAGAGTACCAACAGGCCAGCAATGTGATTAACAGATCTTTACATCTGCTATTGCGGGCCTGGCTGCTAACGTTTTGATTTGCAGGCCCGCTCAGGTAGTCATCTATATGTTAGTGCCTGCAAGAAGCTGATATTTACATGCTAATCTGATTGCACATGCAAATCAGGTAGCTCATTAGCATCTTAATCCACAATTTAATTGCAGGTACAATTTTATGACAACAAAATGTGAAGGGCTATTCTGAATATTTTTAATTTAACTCTGACGGTCTGTCTCATTTAACAGATGCCGTTATTAGTTACAGATGACTTTGTCATTTTACGTCTGTACGGCATGTACCCAAAAGCCTTGAAAAGAAAGAACCTTTTTAGATGAATAGATCAGTGCCCTGAACTTGCCTTCAAAACAGGGATCTGAATAAGGGAAAACCCTATGTAATAGCAGTCACTCGTAATTTTATAAGAAAAAATTGTATGCGTGAAAATATTATTTATTTGCTCTATGTGTTCATAGGGCTATATATGCATACATCACATGTATTACTAAGACATGACTCATGTTACTCTGCTATACGTCAATGGGTTTCCCTGCTTTGACATAGAGTCTGGTCAGGCTGTGGGGCAACCAGCAAAATGTCATCTTTGCGCTAGATCCCGACAGTCCAGTAAAGCGATCTGAGAAAGCCACAGTGCGGTTATTCTCTATTTGAGAAGGTCCAGAACAGCCTTCTACGCAGAAAAACTTCAAAACTGTATACGCAGCTCCCTTTCAGGTGTGGGGGTTTTTTTTCTTGCTGTAATTTCTAAGTGCTGTACTATAAGGGAAGCAGATGTTTCTCCAGGATTCGAGGTGCCATGGATTCAAATCACATACCCTTCATGCTAATCCTTGTTGGCACAAGGTGGATAATGGCATCTGTTATCATAACACCCTGGGGTGTTTGAGCCCCCGCCCCCACCCCGAAGGACTGTGCATACAGGGGTATTATCAATATGAAATTAAATAGTTCAAAAGTGCGTTCTCTCATGACGAGACTCTTTCTCAACTTGGAAAAAAAGAGCACGGCCCGTTTTGGAAAGCTCTTCTCAGAAATCTGGAAATGTTTCACATGATGTCAGGGATGTAATTTTGGTTTGGGCGATAACGCATGCTTGCAGCATCCTGAGCTGAGCCCTTTAAGCGCAGTTTGCACAGTCCTCATCTTTCCCATGCACTTCCACAAACGGATACGTGCACGCACACAGACGTGTGGACTGGCATGGGCTATGCTCTTCACTTCTGTACTTCGCAGGTACGTGGCTGGGAGAGTCAATGTAGTTTAATGTTATCCCAGTTTGATTTCGACTTTTATTTTTCATATGTCAGATGCCCTCAGTCTCCAAGAGAATTTCACAGTCGTATTAATATCATGTGTTGGTTATTATCTGATCGTCAGGCAAATGTGAAGCACGTTAAAAATAATTCACTGTGAGACCAGTAATGTTTGCACATTTTGGAAACAATTTACTGCTGAAAACTCTATGAAGACCAAATGTTTTACGCAAGACCATGTGACTTGGAGATCACCCTAGTTTGCTATAAATATTTTTCTAAAGATGCATGAGAGGAGGACAAAGGGGAGTGCATTAATCTTCGGTGTCACGTCTTTCAGATGCTGGAATCCCAGATATGGAAATAGAACACAACGGAACCCAACACGACAGTGCAGCAATGCAAGGTGCAGTATGTACCGCATCCCATCACGTACATGTTTTTCGTGAGCCGTATTAAATTAAATGCAGAAGGGGTTTTGTATCCATTTTCCTCCTTTAAGATAAACTTAATTTTGGTTTCCTGTTCAATATAGAAAACCTCTGAAAGATCAGTACTTCACAAGACCAGAAATTAAATTTGTTTAAATAGAGGGGTGGGAAACTCGTATTTAGCTATCACATACATGTGCTTAGTTCAAAAGTGATTTTACATATGATTTATCTGTTTAAAATATTTTACCCCTGATCCTTACCTTCCTATCAAGGTGATAGGTGTTTTCAAAAAATACATAAACTGTCGGTGGGAAAGGAGAGTTACGTTCCTGTTGTGAGCAGTTACGTACTCCTCCATTTTCCTCACCGTTCAGGGACGCTGTGTAAACGCAGACCATTCCTGTATTGCCTGAGTGCTTCCCAAAGAATAATAAACGCGTCCTGGCTATAGGCCTGTGAGGTAAGGGAGCTGTGTAACCATCATTTAGGGGAGCTGAGATCCAGAGATCTTGAGGGTTGCTTCCATTACCGTTGGAAGCCTATTTGAGACACGCAGAAAATCCATAGTCACCTGTGGTAAAATTCAGTCTGAGCAATTTGAACACAGAAATTCTCTGACTTGGGAGAAAGGCCGGTTTTGTAGTGTTGATTTTCTAGAAAATCAACCTTTTCCTCCCTTCGATCCCGTGTCCCATTTGCTACAGACCGCTCGGTTCCCATAGCAGCCTGGAGAGAGCCGCCTGTTCCAGTACCACCGCTGCTCCTTAGAGCACTGCCACCCGTTCTGCTGAATCATGTCATGGTTATGTGCAAAAAGCCACGTGTGTGGAAGGAACTCCAGTCCCCTCCTGCATAGACCGGAGGAGGACTGCAGTACGCTTCCAGATACAAACACAACTCCTAGCATCTCTGAACTGTTCAAGGCTCGACTTTGCATACCTCTGGTGTGCATCTGTCGTCCATCTGTCATCTATACAGGAAAGCTTTCATATATTTTTACTGCTGTCTCTTTTTGTGATTTTAGGTTCATATGCTACGTATTAGAAAGAAGGAGAATCACAGCTTTATTGTAATGCACATATATATACAACATATGTCTGTATATATGTGTTCACATATGATTAGAGTTGTGCTCCAAGTATTACAATTTGAAAACCATTACTGCCAGCAATAGCCAAAATATTGGATAAGCACTGGGGATGTATGTATTTAAATTTGACATGCAAAATAATCCAAACATTTACGATATACTTATGATACCTGCTGAGCTGAGTGCTCAGTGCTCTTCCAAGAAGGTTCTGAGGGTCAGAGGTGCATCTGGACAGAATCTAGTATAAAAAGGAAAAATAAGTTCAATTTTCAATTATAAAAAAAAAAAAAAAACAACCTTACAGTTGGCTCAAATGTGTCTTCCATCAAAAATTATTATAAATAACTCAGTGTGGGGAAAGTGATGCATAGCCACTTCCAACAACCATTTCCTTCCTAGAAGGAATTAAGAGAACTTTCCTACATTTCCTGTAGTCTACTGATAGACAGGAAAAACCTTGTGAATATATGATTTTTAGTTCAGGTTGGTTTTTTGATTTGAGTGCGCGCTTATTTTTTTTTTTTAAAATCAGACTCCAACTACCTCATTCTTTAGTTTTAAGAGGCTTTGGATCATAAAGTTTTTGTTCAGGATAATTCAGAAGAGAGGGCAAACTGGATATCCACTATGTTGGGTATCTCTGAGCTTGGAGCCCCTCTGTGAGAGCAGGACTTGACTCGTGCAGGAGGAGCTGCAAACCTGCCGTGTGCTCCTCAATGGCAAAGCCTCTCCTCCCCGCCGCGGTAGCGAGCGACGGCCTACGCTGACTTCTCCGGCAGTTCTAGCGTGGGAATCCCGTTCACACGTAAACGTGTGGTGAGTTTAGCCAGTCCTTTCACTAAGCACTCTCAGCAGATAACGAGGTTTCTCTCCATAGAGCTTGTTCAGATTTCAAAGTGTTTCTGTCGTGTAGCACCGTCTCTTTCATTTTTATTTATGCTGATACTGGAATATCTTTTCAATCTCTTTTCCTTTGATGACAATTTTTGCACTTGACAGCTACTATCGCACTGCTGTCTTTAACAATTTGAGCACATCCCTCATTGCCCCCTTCATTTGCTGCCTTTGTTTTTTGGGCCCTGGGAGGAGGAAGGGTCAAAACGCATGTCCCTAATACAAAGCTGTCTCCAGGCTTCCAAAACCTCTCTCTGTTGCACAGAAGAAAGCGTTAGCATCAATGCAGACCTTTCTTTTGCTGTTGTCAATAGCTCTGCTGGACAGAAATCTATCATTCACACAGTGCCTTTCCTTTGAAATTCAATTAGTTTCGCTGCCAGTATCTCCTTAAGACGGTTTAAAGGAAAATTTCAAAAATACCGCACAGCCACCTTTCGCAGTGATTAAGTCATATCATATTTTATGCTCATTCCTTAAAATGATTTTATTAACACAAGCTGTTCATATACTGGGATTCTGATGCGCGTTATAAATCTCTTCCACTTAGTTGACTCGTTTCCTCTATGCTTTGTATCTTAATTGCACGGGAATTTTGTGCGGAGGAAACTTAAACTTTTTTGAACTTTACAGCCTAATAGAATAATAGAATCATAGAATGTTTTGGGTTGGAAGGGACCCCTAGAGGTCATCTAGTCCAACCCCCCCGCAGGAGCAGGGATACCTCCGTCCTCCGTACACCTGCTCTTCTAGCCCAGTGTAGCTGGATCCGAGAGAAGCTTTTTAGCTGACAAAATAGAAAAGTAGCGGTCGCTGTCGTCATGAAGCCCCCCGCGTGCTTGAGTGGTGCAGGAGAGGGTGAGGCGTGCGCACGGGTCCCTCTGGTCGTGCTTCCATAACTCACTTGTAGGCCAGCAAGGCAGTGCATCAACCATTTTATCAGCCAATCTCCGTTTCACATAAAATAAACATACTGGGTGTCATTAAGTGCACCTTCAGATCAATGATTTTTGCAAATGACATTCAAGTACCATTCGGGTAGTGCATTTTTGCTGATAAAAGCAAATTAAATTAGCACAACTACAAGTGTGCTGATAAAAACTAAAACCGAACAGCAGCACCATTAGCTAACAAAGTAATATTTTCTCTTTACTGCTTTCTGCCATTTAGTTATTATCCTATTGGAAATCTAATTATAATCCTTTTACTCCCTAGTCAAACTTCACAGTTTTTGCAAGCTTAGCACTGACAAGTGATTTCATTACATTTGATTGCCCGCGCCCAGATTGACTTAACTTCACTCCGAGACCTAAAAGCCCTCTCAGTTTCTCAGATTCCCTGTTTGCACATTACAGCAACAGCTCCTTTAATTAATTAGCATGAACAGCAGTAACATGAACTGCTGAACAGAAAATAACATCATTTTATGATCGCAGGGAGACTTCTCCTTTTGCATGTTTATACCTTAGTTAACTTTTGTATTACTATATTTCATTGTTAGGGGATATTGGAACAATCAGCAAAGCAATGTTATCTTAAAATTTTAAAAAATAGATCTTACCACAATACTTGATGATAACAATTTCCCAAATTCTAAATTCCAAGAAGGAGGCGGCAGCGTAGGCAGGCAGACTTTCCCGAGCTGAGAACGCGGTCCGAAGGAAACGGGGTTCGCTGAAGCTGCGGCAGGAGGGCAGCCCTGGGCTGCGGCTGCTCCTGGCTGCGAGCACAAAAACTCTGGGTAACCGTGAATAACTTTCTGCTGTTACCTGTCTGCCACAGAGGAAGCGCCGCTGAAGTTTGAACATATTTGGGGGGTTATTATTTAGAAAACTGGCCTATGTTTGTTCAGTATTCTGATATAACCAGGCAGTTTTTCAAAACCAGCCTGTGGTAAAAAGGACACAAGGGGGACAGGAAAGGGGGGGGGGTGGTTTTAAGAGGTTTAAGAAGTTTGTTACTGTGTCAAGTTAAACCTTCCGATGCTGCGATCCGCTGAAACCAACCACGCTGCGGAGCCTCGGAGTACTCTACAACTGTAAGAGACAAGTTCAACATCTTGGAAATGACGGTGCTGTTGTCTTGCCCTTGCTTTCACTGAAAAAAAAATGTTCAATTTTACGTAAGAACAGACCAGAACCCTGTGACTAGAAACTCGTGAGGTTAAACCAGAGGCCCGATACTTGCCTTGTGAGCGAGTTGTTTGCTGTCATCCTCGTTTGAGTCTTGGTCCTTTCCCCCTTCCTCTGTCCCTAGCGCGTGTCCGGCGCTGGATGCTCTGAATTATTAAACCTCTAGCAGTTACCTCGTGCTGTGTCGTACTGCCGCGTTTCTAGAAAAAACCCTTTCAAGTCAGATCCTTGTCCTTGGCTGTTGTTACTCGTTGGAATGTACGTTATTTTCTGTACAAGTTTTTAGGTCCGTTAACACAGGTCCCCAGGCAAACAGGGGTGTGGAAATACTTGCCCGAGTCCTAAGCACGCGAGACGTTGGGGAAGAAGCCCCCAAAGCAGCACCTCCCCGAGCGTGCTGCGCTGCGGGGTCCTGCCCGCTGCGGGGACGGGGCCCACGGGGACCGGAGCTCTGGTGCCGCAGCCCCGGCTCGCCAGCCCCGACAGCACCAGACAGCAGAGCCTGCAGCTCTGCCGGGGTGGAAAAGGGACGGTCTGAAAGCACGAGAGGTGAAAAGCAAGCAACCCGAACTTCATTAGTGCTGCTGCTCTGGGAAGCAGCCCTTATCGTCCGCATTCCTCCGTGAGTCTAGAGGAAACCCTGCCCTGCTCACGGTGTGCTGTTTTTCTCTCTTTCACTGCTCAGTTTGGAAAATATTTACAGATAAATGGAAAGGAAAAGTTTTGCTAGACAGCTAATGAACAGGCAAGGGAGTCAGTTCTACTCACTGTTGCCCGTTCGGCTGAATGACCAGCCCAAAAACGTGAGAACTGGCTGCAGGCCAGGCCTGTTGTTTTGGGGTTTTTCTTCCATGGCAGCAAAGGAAGGGATCTTTTTCTGTGTTTCTCCTAATTGCTGTGGTCCGTACCCCTCTAGCAGGGGCCTGGGTGCAGCCTCCTTTCAGGCCAGCCAGCACTCCAGTTTGCCAGGAGGCTTAGGGAAAGGGTTTGGGTTTTTTTTCAGGGATTTCATCCACAGTAGAAGCCAAACTGTTCTCTGATTTTCCTTTTTTCTTCTGCAAAAAAAGAGACTGATTCAAACTAATTAACCCCAGCTTTGTAAGTTAGATTTAGTGTTATGGCATTGTGTTTTCCATGTGTGGCTGCGTCCAAAGCTCGGCTTGGCTCTGATCTAACTGAAATGCTGACTCTGCCTAGGCAGCCTAGGGAGGGTGGAGGGATCAGCTCCCGTCCGGGATGCTTACGGTGTCGTGTAAGATCCCTTGGCTCAAGCCCTCGAGTTGTGCGAAGGCTCTGAGAGCGCACGGTCGGGCACGTGGCTGCCCTCGCCCTCCTGCCGCCCTTCCCTCCCCGGGAACGCAGCCACGGCTCGGCTCCGCCTAACCTTGATTTGAGCAGCTCTCCTGACTCCACCTAAATTGGCAACGTGGGATTTTCAGTTTCTTATTTCATCTCTGCCACCCGTACTCTCTGCACTACATAGCGCCAGGGTTTATTTTTTAACATGCATGAATAATTTACAGTTGCCAACACAACAAATTTATCCTGGTTTTCTCATCAGGTAGCAGATCCCAAATTTCCTTCCTCCAATGACTTTCTCCTCCAGTTCCCAGTGTGCTAAGGTCACCGGAACATTCCCACACCGGAGCTGTGTGGGTTAATCCCACGTCACCGCCGCCTCGCCTTGCTCCCCTCCCTGGCCTTGCACCCCAGCCTTACCGGGGCACATTTCTTTACGTGGGTTGCGAGGGTACATGTGGAAGTTTTGTTTTAGAGTACTTTTATGGATATACAGGTGAATTACCAACTGCAAAGAAAGGTATTGCAGACAAAGGCTCACATGGGATTCAGGAAAGTCAGCTGCTGAATAGGCTGAAAAAAGAAAAAAAAAAAAGAAAAATGTGAATAAATATGCAGATGATAATTATTGCTTTTGGATTTTTCCTTTACACACACATTAAAACCTTGAAAGAAAGAGACAAATGATGATTTTGTTGCTAAAAGAGCGTGCAAGAGATGAATGCATACCCTGGACTAACAACTCAGGGAAGACAGCACCATCCCGAGGGAAAATTACAATTATTAAGAGAGGCTCTGGCTCACTGAGAAATTGTGAGATCTTTACTTGTCTTATACATTGTGAAGGGGAAAAAAAAAAAAAAAAACACCTTTCTAAATGTCTTGCTTATTAAGCCAGTCATGCATTTCACTGTAGGTTGTAAAGCTGTATAACATGCACAGGGGGCTCATAAGCATATTTTAGTGTTAGGGAATATCATTTATACAGTTTTTATATTGTCAATATTACCCCTAGAGAATGAGATTAAGCTTTAAACTACTGTAAATCTATGCTTTTGCTCACCTTTGTATAATTTCATTTTTTAATAGAATGAAGCCCACATAAATGAATATTTGATTAAGGGATAAACCTAATAAAAGAATACATTTATTGCACACAGATTTATTCAAATCTTTGCTATATAATACAGTAAAATGCTATGAAGCGGTATGTAGCTTGCAGCCAGCTACGCTGAGAAGATGGTGAATATTCTTCAAAAAGATGAATTTGACACCATCGCGTTGTCTTTCATGTATAAGTGGTAGCACAGATGCTCCTCACACTTTAATTCCTCATAGGTGGTTGCTGCATGACGTTGTTAATGCCACGGAGTGAAGTTTATTGCACAGCAACAAAAAAAGTATTTTAATTTCTGGAGAATAATTGAGAGCTTCATAAAAAAGGAAAAATTTAACCATGCACTTTCTGTTTACTGATCAATACTGTCTCCTGGGTGGCTGCACGTTGCTTGAGCGGTGGCATTTACTTTCTCTCTTACAGGTATTCCAGATACCTCCATTGAACTTCCCTTGAGAAATAAAGGGAATAGAAAGGAAAAATTGAAACCGGTTTCAAAGTTTAACTAGTCGGTCCATCAGCCGTCAATGGCCACCTCTTACCTTAGTTTGAAAAATAAGTTTTTAAAATGCAATAAAAATATCAAGAATATATATTTAAAAAAATATATTACTGATCCTTACTGATCCCTTTTTTGACAAATCAGCTCTTCCCTTGAAAGCACATCCGGACTCCTCCCCTCCTTTTTGCAGACAGAGTCCTTGTTGCCGAACGCGGCACCGTACATGCGTGTGCACGTGGGCTCTGGCTTACGGCTTTGCCCGTACGAACATCAAGCATCAAACCTGCGTCAAAAGATGCAGATGACGCCCAGCAGCCTTTTAAATAGTGAGTTATGCATCTGATTCTGCTGGCTTCCATTGGTTTTATACGGGCTAAGCTAGCACGCCCGTCTGTAAGTCCCGCCTGCGGAGGTGACCAGGCCAGGCCTGGCTCCTGAGCCCCCTACCCTCCGCGGGAGCAGGGGTGCGGGCGTTGGGTGCCCGGGGCGCACAAGGCTTTGGCTGCTTCCATGCAGACCCAGGGTGGTGGTGGCTGGTGAGACGCACGCTGCGGCAGAAGTTCAGCCTTCTGGACTGCCCTAAAGACCATGCGTAGGGGTTTTTTGGGGGGCAGTCACGCTGACCTGCAGGTTCAGCCCCATGGCTGCCTTTTTTTAGAAGCACAGCTTTAACATAGGCTCGATCCCTACAGCCTGCTATGGGAAGAAGTCTCGCGCAACTTCCGAAGAATCAGGAGAAGAGAAGGAAAAAAAAACCACACACCAAACCCACAACCAGCAAAAGCCACAGTGCTCGATATTTGCATTTCTGCTTCGCCCTCCACAGGCTTTGCCCCACTAAGTTTAAGACAATCGTTTTACCCAGCCAAAGGCCTGAAACTTAATTTTATTCACTTCTTTGGAGGTTCCCATGCTCCCAAACGTTCCTCCGGAGATCTTATGGCCCCGGCTCTTCCGCTCTCTATTCTTGTTTACATCCAAAATACATATTAAATCATCTCTGTTTGGAGAGGCTGAGCCTCCTTAAAACCATGAAACATTCAATTACTAATTAGCTGTTTCCTGTTCCTAATGAAGTGAACATGTCGGATTTGGATTAAAATTCAGCTACTGCTCTCCTCTGTTTATGGTTCCAGATGTTTTTGTTTTATCTAGGAGGTTACTTTGACAGCTACTGCTAAATGATAAATCACTCATATTATAGCTGAAATGCATTTTGAAATTGAAATGTGGCAAACTTGGAGATTGCTCCAAGGATCAGTGTCAGTTAGCAGGTCAATACTTGTTCTTGCCTTACGAGCGTTCAGTATTGGCATATGTAAAACAGTAATGGGGGAGATGTCAGCATTATACAAAATGCTTCTCAATATTATCATTTTGCTATCATCTCCAAGATCAGTACTTGCAGGTTTAGCTGGGTGAATTCGTGATTCATTGTATAATGAACAAGGCTACGGATTCTTGTTAGCTGTACTTTCTGTGGGCATTTTAATATTTATTTTTTCTCTGGGCTTAATGTGAAAAAATCACAGTTGATAGCTACTGTAACTAGGAATGTTTTTATGAAGGAAATAGGTGGCTTTCTACTAGTTTCCCTAAATAAAGACAAATATTTTTAAAAGAAATGCGGCAGTTTCTGAACAAAAGAACAGATTTTTCCCAAGAACACCTATTGATTTACTTCTGTTACCTTTTTTTAATGCAATGCAGTTTCGGTCTAACACACGGCTCCCTAGCAGGTTTTGTGCACGTGCTAACGGTACGCCGTGCCGCTGCCGCCATGTTACTCGGGCTGTCTTGGGAAGGCGGGCAAGGCAGCACAGGCTGGCTGCCGGACAGAAAAGATGGGGAAAAAAAAAAAAAAATCAGTGTTGCATTAAAAAGCAAATGCCATAAAGGAAGAAAATGCAAATAAAGATATTTATAGTCTCTACGCAGCAGATGCTGGCTGGCAAGCACCGCTGCAGACCAGGCTGGTGGGTTTGTCGCCCAGCTGCCTGCCCACGCCAGTGCTGCTGGCTCAGAAGGTGGTCAGGGTGCTGGGACCGGCTCATCCCGCTGCCCAACAGTCACCTCGCCGGGGCCTCGCGGGGCTTGGTCACCCGGGGCTGCTTTTTCCTCCGAAAAGCCTAAAGCCTATTCGCCTGACGGACAGGTTGCATCAGCCATAGATCTGATAATTTGGCTTGAGAAAAACCAAACAACCAAATAAGGAGACCCACCAAAGTTTCAATTAATTATAAAATGTATAACTGTAAATTGACCTTATTTCTTCTCTTTTTTTTTCTCTCCCCTCCAGAAAACAGAACATACATCAAACCTACTATTATGTACTGAAGGAAACACCTATTGCTGAAAAATGTATAATGATCACTATTTGAAGACCATATAGTTCATGAAAAACGTCCCTTCCAACCTTTGATGCCTTCAGTACTGGGTGAAGAACAGGATTTGTAGCATGAAACTTGAAGGACAATTTCAAGCAATTTACTGTTGCTGCATCGAAAACTGCCGTATTGTCATTAAGAAATATTGAGACTTTTTACAAGCTTACCATACCAAACCAAGCCTGTTGCAACAGATCATTTTTAGGTCCCCAGAGATAGAAAGGAGTTTTAGTATTTTTAAGCACATACAGGAATTATCCCCCCCGCCCCCCTTCCCCCCCTGAAAAAAGAACTTTTTTTTTTTTTTTTCTAAGGCGGTAGCTATTACTGTATAGCAATGGCACAATGATTTTAAGCCACAAAGGTCCTCACTGGCTGTACATCATACAAGCCCAGTTTATCACTGAAACTGTTCAACACGGAGCTGTTTCGATTGTGTTTATAAATTAAGCTTTGTTTACTGAAGCAGATACTCGATATATATTACGTTTTAAAAAGAAATGTGTGTACATTTTTTAAAAGAATGATGTAAAAATTGTCCTTTCATTAGATGACCAATTCAAAAGTGTGAGCTAAACCCTGATAGCTGACGTAATACGAGGATTATAATTGATGCTTTTTTTTATGCTCAGTTCAGCTTGGCTTTTGGTCTTTTAAGATGAAAAAAAAATGAATATGCAGTAGAGTGTTAGATAATGGAAACTTTTAAGTATGGTTTCTCTGTTGTACCATATTAAGTTAAAGTACACATTCTTTGTTAAAAATGTTCTTGCTAAAAACACAGTATTAAAAATTTTTTTGTTTGACTTTGGAAATCTTTTAAGATTTTTTTTTTTTTTTGGCCTGTGACTTCCCATAGTTACTGTACTAAAGCAAAAAAAATATTTTGCACTATATAAAAATACTTGAAGAAATCTCTTAATAAAGAGGGTGGGTTGGTATTAAACATTTTCCTAATTATTGTATGTTCCAAATTCTGAACTTTGCAACTGAAACATCCCTTGCTCAAAAGACATGGCCGAAAGCTGGTGTGAGGCAAGCGGAATTAAGTAGTCACCTGTTCATGCTTTACTTTCATTCCTGGGTCAAAGGCACGATGCTTATTTACTTACCAGCTCATGGTTATACACGTGTACTTATGTTTACACACACCCTGAATTAAATCACCGTCACTTAAAAACAACAAACCCCTTTAAATAGGTATCTGGGGAACATATTTGCTATGAATATGTATACTATCTATATGTATAGTGCTCAAAATTTCATTTATTTTTATCATTAGGTTTTTGGTTTGGGTTTTTTTTTTTTTCTCCTGGTTAACAGAGCTTTGCAAACTTTTGAAGTGTAGCTTCGCACTATGCTATATGTAACGCAGCAGAAAAGAATCATCCGATTTTTTCAGTCCTAAAAGAAATCTTGTAGCTTAAGCAGGTGTCGGCTCAAGAAAACATGTTGGCCTCTGTTTTACAGGTGACCATCAGAAAGGTTTTCAATGTATAAATGTGGCTTTTTCTGGGTGGTGTGTTTTTTTTTTTTTTGCAAGCATTCTAATAACTGCATTAATCACACGGGCATCGATTAAACAATCAGTGGTTGAATGAGATGAGGGAGCAGGAGCATTGGGACTGGTGAGTGCTCCCCCACTCCCAATAGGAGCTCACGTGGGGGTAAAAGACCACAGCACCTGAACTTCAGTGCTGCCTTTGGCGATCGATTGATTTTAGTTGCTATTCAGGAGTCTCTGAAATGAGGATTGGGCCTTATATCTAAATCTTATTTTTAAAAAAGGCTTGAAGCTGTCCTTGGGCTACTGCAGCCTTTCTGACTGATGGACCAACCTCTGGTCTCGCTCCTGTGAATTGCGGCTTTTTGAAGATCTTTGGTGAGCTACCCGGTATCATGTGGTTTAGAAAGACTGAAAGTAACTAAATATTTCAGTCTGAAATTGTAGCATTTTTGCATTTTTTCTTTAGTCTCCATAGAGGCAATTTTCGCATATTTTTTTTTTTTCCCTCAGCGGCCAATCTACATTTCTTAAGGCTGCATTGATGCTGAGTGGATGAGCACATCATTGATTTCTAATTTGCCCTTCCCAGAATAGTTTTAAATGTCAAGGTACTGGCAAATGAGATTTAGGAAACTGATAAACTTCAGAGACTGAATCTGTTGTTAAGTCCTTATTAGGTGGCTCCTGATAAATATTGACAAACCAAGACACTGAGCTTTTTATGTGTCAGCCCAACCTAACGAGCGTGCTTGTAACCAACACCTTCTGTTGGAGCAATACATTAAAGCCAGACCAAGCAACAGGTTTGGCCAATTACGGTTGAATAGTTCATATTAAAGTGCAGATTTCAATTAATTTTTTTTTCATTTAATTTTATTATTTCTCATCATCTCCTCGGGAATATTCCAAACATCACCCTCCTGCATAGGGATCTGGCCCAAAAACTTGCGTAGTTGTTTTGGACGGATGCGGGATGGTGACGGCACGGCCAAGGGGTCGGGTCCCACCAGGGCATCAGACCCCACACCAGCCTTTGTCCACCTGACACTGACATTTGGGGAATAGGTCTGGCACTGCGTGTGATTTATTTATTGATTGATTGATTGACTGATTGATTGATTTCCCCCCCTCTCTGCAGCATCCAAAGCCTCAGTATAGGCTTTGTCTAGCTCCAGGCACGGCAACTGAGCACAAAAGGCAAGAAAAAAAATGAGGAAATTGCTTTCATGTCATGGCTTCTAGGTCGCTGTTGATCTTGTCATTCAGAGGCAGGAGGAGATGGGCTTGGTTGCTCAGGGAAGACAAGACTAAGGGAAGAATTAATTGTCTTTCATATGTGGAAGTCAGCTATAAGGAGCAGGAAGGTATCCGTCCCCGTCCTCTGTGGGTCCATGGGCAGTACAGGTCAGCGTGCGCTCTTCCAGAAAGCCGCGGGGCCCCGTGACGGCATTGCTGCCTGGTGGTACAGGTCGGCAAACACAGGCAACGTTGAGCTGCTTTTTTAATTTCTCGTGGGCATAATTTCAGATTCGGCTACAGTTATCGGCCCACCTTGCTCATCTTGTCTTTTAAACAGCGGAACCATCTCGGTAGGAGCATTTTGGAGAGCCCGTCCCCTCCAGGCCGCGGCAGGGCAGTAGGCAACGCAGCCTTCGCCGTGCTCCTCCTCGTTGGAGGCTGAATAGCCACAGCTGGTGACAGCGCTAGGAGCCCAGGAGGGACCGATGCCATCTCTTTGACATTTTGGGTTGGTTTGGTTTTGGTTTTTTCCTAAATGAAAATGCCTGCAAGGAGCAGGACTTTAACCATGCCCATGTCCTCAGCCCCTCCTAAAAGTGGCGGAGCAGAGGGATGCTGAAAACCCCTTTTGATGCAGGGTGTGGCCTGCAGAAGCGGCGCCGGGGCCGGGTGTTTGGGGGGGGGGGCACCACCGAGGGTGCCTCTGTGACAGCTCTGGTTTCCTACAAAGCAGCCCCGTGTTCGTAAACGGCCTTTGAAGTGGCGTTACGCCAATAAGGGTGGTGTTCGCTGGACACAAGGTGATCTTGGCTAAATGCAGGCAAGTTAATGGACGACATATATTCCAGCAATTTTATGAATCTTGTGTAATGCAGGCTGCTATCATAATAAACTCTTACAGGATCAATAGTGACCAATCTCAATTTAAAATCTGGATCTATAGTAATACACAGCGAGAACGCTCTCCTTTAGAAATGCATGGCTGTGCATTAAAAGCTGAATGCTGGTTTAAGTAATTGCTATCTACAAGTAAGTGGCCCACTAATATATTTATTTACTGAGTATTTTTTGGTACCATGACAAAACGTGGGCTAACCCAAACTGTTACGGATTTCCTTCGTGGCCTCAGCTGCTCTCCACAGCCGCTCCCGTGCGTGCACAGGCTTAGCCCTAAACTACAAAAAAAAAAACCTAATAATAAACATTTTGACTTCAGTTCTGTCTGCAAATAAGGGTGTCTTTGAAGATTTGAAGCTGGGATGGAAGGGGAGAAAAAAATAAAGTATTTTTTTAAATGATGAATTTATAGACTAAGTATGAATGGCTACAGCTTTATATTTGTACATCAAAGAAATGACTTGGAATGAACCAATTCAGTGTCGGCGCAGCACAAATGCTGCAGCTTGCTCCTGTTCCATTAGACCCTCAGCCATTTCGGCTTCTCTCCGCCAGCTAACACTGGCACCTTAATAGCGCATCCTTTGCATGGATGGTGAGTGTGGTAATCTAAGGTAGGGGAAAATATTCTTTTTGGCACTCATTTTTTACAACAAAGAAGAACTCCCATTATTCTAAGTTCCAGTTAGAAATACAGTAAGATTTTACTATATATTCCTTATGCGATTTGGTTGATATAACCCAAAATTACGAAAGTAAACACAGCACCATCTATTAAAATGCTCTTACGATAACCGATACTTAAGTTGGATCTTTTGTAATACTGAACCTTTTTAAAAATGCATTTGGCTTTGCCTGTTTGACAACACACTGCTTTTTCAAAAATGCCTTTGAAACACGTATTCACCGAGCAGCAGACCTCTTTCGCTATCTATCAGTTCTTTGCTTTGGCTGTCTACAAGAGGGGTTAGTTGTGGGAAAAGGAGGAGGTTTTTCTGTTGTCCCTAAAATGTAATTGCCCACCTTCGTGCTCTCCCAAAGCTATGAGGGCTGCCCTAGCATCCCGACTTGTATTCTGCAGCTACTGCAGCCCGACTAACTGCAGATCTTGGCTCTGAGAGCAGCCCAGCTCCGTGCCGACACAGCTGGGATGGCCGCTGTGTTTAAGGTTGTTATCTTTAAAGATAACGATGCTCCCAGTGATGGAGCAAGTGCCCAGTATTCTGGAATAAACTTTGGCTGGTCAGAGGGATGGCAGAGATGAAACAGCCAGGGAAGCGGCAGGTTCATATTGAACTGTACAAAAT